ATATATATCATTGTCTGGGCATGTAGGGGCATGCTTGTAGTCCCAGCACTTGGGAGGATGAAGCTGGGAGTTCAGCCAACCTGGGATACACAGGGAGGCCACAGGCAGCCTTAACTGCAGAGTAAAGCCTTGTGTGAAAAAGATGAAAAAAAGAAAACAAGGGCTTCAAAATCCGTCATTTCAGTGCAGCTCAGATGAGTGCCCTGGTGATACTCAAGGGGCCAATCCTTGGACACAGTCCATTGGTCTTCACCTCCTTGTAAAATTCCTTCCCTTCCAGTGGGCAGGGCCAGAGCATTGCTTTTGACCAGCAGAACAGGACAAAAGATGGCTGAATGAAACTCCTGTGATGACAATTTGTTATTCAAACACATCTTGCAAGTGCATTTGTTACGCAGACTCCTTCTGAGCTCATGCAGAAGAAGTACTTGATCATGTGCACACCCAGGGGAAAGGAACAATTGATGACCGTGGAGCCAGGCCAGGCTTGAGCCACAGCCAGCAGGAAGTCAGGGCTCCACACAGTGCAACCCCAGGGGAATGAATCTTGCCAGCAACCTAAGTGTGTGAGGGAGGGGCTTGTCCCCAGAGGGTGTCCAGGTGAGAACACAGCCTGGCCACACCTTAGAGCTCCCGTGGAGATCCTAAGCTAACACCTCACTACAGCTCACAGAGCTGTGCTCAGATTCATGACCCATAAGGCTGGGAGATAATATAACTACATTGCTTCAGATAACTTGTGAGGGGCAATAGATAACTCACACAGCCTTCAAATCATTTTGGATTGATTCAAATTTTCCAGCCAAATTCAACATGGTAACAGTTTCCGTTATCAATAGTTTTTAAATTTGGTAGCTAGGTGTAAGAATCGTTTCGAGATCTAGGTAGCAGCAGCTAACAGATAAACAAATAGTAACTGTGGATTTTGAATCAAGAAATCCTAGTATCCGTTATGTTTCTAACATGCAGCTCTGCTCCCTGAGTCAGGTACATAGTATTAAAAGTGCCCCACTGTGCTTCCCACCTTTCTTACACTTCTGTCAGAATGTAAGAATTCATGAGAATCCTCAGAGGCACATCTACCACCACATCTGGGGCTCCTCACCTGCCAGACAAAAGCTGGAAGCTCCCATGACAGAATGGAGGGCATTTGTAGCACAACCCCATGGAAGGGCAATTGAGAATAGACTCATTCCTCACACATAGAATCTGAGTGTTGGGAGTGACCTGGCACAAGAGGGTTACCAAGCAGACAGCAGGACCTGAAAGGTCCTACAGGGGCACAGGATGCAGTGCACATTCATCCTCTGAGCACACAGGACGAGAAGAGTAACTCAGCTCTGCTACAAATATGAACAAACTGGTGGTGCTTCTGCTGACTACCTGTGGCCCTGCTGTCACAGCACTGAGGGAGCCCTGAGCTTTCTCTCCTACCTTGATGGCGTCTTAACATCGCCTTCACATCCAAGTAAAGCTTAGCAACATCACACGTAGTTGGGACTTCCAAGGAAAGGGCCTCAGAAGCTTCCAGCTTCACAGCGCTAGCCCTGGAAGAAGCAGAGGCACAGCCTCCTCAGTGCTCCTCTCCATTCAGCTCTGCCCACCAGGACCCTCCCTTCCCCCATCCACACAGGGCTCACCTGCTCAAGGTGCCTTCCACATCCTGTAAGGAACAAAAGAGAAGGTTAGCATCAGGACTCCACGGGCTGTGGCATGGAAAATGCTTACATGTGAACACAGCTCCTCAAGAAGGAAAGAGGGGCACAGCCTGAGACAGTGTTGCAGAGTCAGGAGCAAGGATCCCACCCATCCTCTACCCACTCGGCAGGGGGCTGAGATCCCTTTGGGGAAGCCTGTGAGGGAAGAAGCGTTGCTGAAGTAGCATCAGCCTGTGGTTGCCAGAACAGGGGCTGGACATTTGCTCAGCCTCTCTTTGGCCGGACTGGATTTCAGGGACCTGATGCCCTATAGAGTGAGCCTATGTTAGAGATCACTTGTCACCAAGGTCATTAATACTGACTGGACATGCAACTCCAGAGCCTAGGCCTACAAAGTGGTAGCCTTTTTAAGCACATGACGGCAGAGGAGATCTGCCATGTTCTGACCTGAGAGTGTGACCTCAGTCCCAGTATCAGAAGGCAGAATGAACAGCTGCTGCTCTTTATCCTAATGAGATGAATTGTTTATGTGGCTGTAATAAGTCCCACAGTATGTCTAGGCGCAAGGGTCACACCAGCAAATCAAGGAACAGGGTGCTACTCCTTGTGGCTTTCCCCTGTCACTGCCTGATAACATGATGAATATTTCACCCAGACTGGCACTCACCGAGAGACTGTCAGTCAGTGTTACGGCAACCAGCTATGCGCCTCTTTTGGAATGTTGTAGCATCCAGCAATAGGCCTCTTTCCACTGCAGCTTTTTCCTATTCCCAGACCTGCCAGCCACAACTCAACTGCAAAGATAATGATCCCCCGCAACCCCCAAGCAGTTCTCTCTCTATATATAGTGGAAGCCCCTTCCGCTACATCCTGCACCTGGCCTGAGGTCTGAGTGCACATCTCCATTACCAAAAATGGACACAATGCCAACCTCTGCATCACCTCTTTCCCCCATTCCTGCATGCTCTAGGAATTCCCTGTCTCCCCAGCCCTCACTGCTGCTTAGGTCCGCTATGCAGCCCAGCTTATGATAGTTGTGGCCAATAAAATGCTCCTTTTGTGCCAGCTTATTTGAGTATGGTCTTGTGTGGGTTTGAGCATGCCTTTTCCTGACAGTTTTCCTGTCAGTCAGGACCTGCAAAGACTCATGGGAAATATAATACCCAAAGCTCTTCCATGGGTCTATTTGGCCATTTTACATTCATCTACCTGGCAAAACCATTTCTCTTTCAGTGCTGTGGATTCAAATCCAGACTCTGCCCATACAAAGAAAGCATTCTAATACTCACTAGCATCCAGGGACCATTATTTACCTTTAATTTCAGTCTCACTAGTTGGCCCTTTATTTGCACTACCCCAGCCTGAGCCACCCCACCAGTTGAGATTATAGGCCTGGAGCCAAATTCTCTGCAAAATGTGATTTATAGTATGATTTATAAGGGGACCCCATAGACCAGTGGGGCCACCCTAATGGTGCTCAGGGATAGACTTGGTTAGATACTACCTAAATCCCAACACAAATGCCCCTTGCGAATGGAGCAGACTGCGCAATACTTGCACTGCCTCCTCTTCACACTCCTCAGAAACCTCCTTTCCTTCCCCAAGGCCACAGCCTCACATGCAGCAGCCTCTGGGATGAACTCTGACACTTTGCCTCCAGCTCTAAGACATGCATGCCACTTTACCTGATCTCTCTTCTGCAGGTTGGCCTCATTTTCCCCCAGTCTCCTCAGCATCTTTTCTTCTTCATTATCCAGTCTCCAGATCCACAACTTCTCCTCCTCACGTAGAAAAGTGTGGAGAATCTCAAAGTCCAACTTCACCTTTTGTTTTTGTAAGGTCATAAGTGCAAGCAAATGGGGAGTTCCTGCTGACTGAAGGGATGAACAAGTTGTGAGCTTTAGACAGAATGCAGTCTTTCCCAACCTAAAAAAGAACAGAAATCTTCCTCATCCTTCAGGGTTAAACCCTGAGGGCTTTCTGCTGAGGAAAATGAGCCTGAAGCAAGGGTAGCAACAGTGATCATCTAACTTTTAGGAAGCATCTAAATAGTTACATTCAGTAACCAGGGAGTTGGCTCAGTAGAATAAGTGCATGCTGGGCAAGCTCAAGGGCCTGAATTCAATTCCTGGTTATGCCAAAGAAAAAGCAAACAAATAAAAAAAAGTTGCATTCACAGAGAAAGAAAGGCAAATAGTAGTGACCAGGTTGTTAGGAGGAGAGGAGAATGAGAGTTGAGGTTTAATGAGGACAAAATCACATTTTGCAAGAAGAACTTGTGGAGCTGAGTAGTGCAATGGCTCTGTAACAATGGGAAAAGAATTTAGTCACTGAACTATACACTTAAAATCTAAATGTGACAAAGTCCACATCATGCCTATTTTGCCACACACACCAAATAAAGGATGTTCTGTTGCTGTGCTATAACATTCACATAAGGGGCCGGGGAGATGGCTCAGTGGAATAAGCACTTCCCTGGCAAAGCGCAAGAGCCTGCATTCAAACCCTGGTTCCACCAAAAAAAAAAAAAAAAAAAAAAAAAAAAAAAAAAAATCTATAACATTCACATAAGACACTCAAGCTGGAGTCATGTCCTGAGTTTCCTGTTGCCACTCAGCCCCTGGAGAGATTCACTCGACCTCCTTTCCTCTTTCCTAGCACCCAGGCTGGCAGGAGCCGTGCTGATTCTAGACAGTGTGAGACCACAGGGAGGAAGGGATATGTCACTGCTGACTCAGAAGTGTGAACACACCTGTTAGGGTCGCTTTATTCATCCTATGTATAAGATGCCAGAAATAAATGATGCATCTCCTGAGACTTAACTTTCATTTGAGTGGACAAGTACTGCAATTTTCAGGAGTTCATGGTAAAATCTGTAGCATTTTAATGACTCTGATGTTATGACAGAATCCATCCAAGTTAAAAAGAACTGGCAGCTTTGCCTGTGAGACTGGTACCTGTCAGACTTTTGTATGGAAAGGCTTCCCCAGTGTTAGTTATGCTCAGTGTCGCCCCTGTGCAGGGTTGCAGCAATGGCTAATCCCACACTGTTCCCTCGAAACTCTGATTCACCCTTCACACACAGCAGAGGCAGCGGGCACAAAGGACTCCAGAAGAGGCCAGTGGCTCAGCAGCCTGCAGACCTGGACTGCCAGCTAAAGCATTCCTAAAATGCTTTCGCACAGCAATGCTTCTCCGATGCTGTGGAGCCTGGAAGCCCTCAGCCTCCTGGTGCCGGGATGCAAGCTGTCCTAGTGGCTGCTGTGCTCCTGAGCCTCACAGTGGCTCCCTCATGGGCTGTCCTGGGAAAGCTGTTCCTCAGTGCTTTAAGGGGCAGTTCTACACCTGTAGGCTGAAATCCAGACCTTACCCTTGGTGAATGTAATAAGGGGATTAGTTCAATGTCTATGTATCAGAGCATACAGGTGACAGCCAAACCCAAAATACCTGATTTCAGGCAAATAGACACCACAATGCTACTTCACCTGAATAAGTTGTCAGGAATCCTAGTTAATATGGGTTAGGAGGTTAAAAGTTTAAGGATGGAATCTCCTACTTAGAAAGGAGTACAGGAACACATTTTCTACTGGGGGTTTCTGCTTTACCCTAGTTACTCCCTGAGCCTCCACACTAGAATAAAAAACAGTTGGGAACCAGTGATGTCAGATTCTTACCCGGCACTTCATTATCTGTGTTCGTATAGATGTTTTCTGATTCATATATTCTGTGTACAAATGTCTCAACCTTTCCATCTTTCTGGTCACAGCTTTCTGGAGCTTTTCCTGAGTGGAAAATTGGATGAGAAAAGTCCATTGAAATTGATTTGCTGTTAGAAACCTATGAGTGTGTCCACCAGATAGCTCAGCAGATTAAAACACATGCTTAGGCAGAAGCAGTGGCAGGGGGTTTGTTCCAGGCATACCCTGCCGGCCCCGTCTCCAGGACCCACTGAGAGGGAATGGAGACTGGGCATGGTGGCATGTGCCTGCAATCTCAGCACTTGGAAGTCTGAAAAAAAGGAGAATCACTATGATTTCGATCTCTGTAGTAAGACCCTGCATACCCTCTACTACATAGAAATAAAATACACACACACACATACCTAAAAAAAAAAAAAAAATGAAACCAGTGAGAAAGGCCAGCATTGTAGGAAGTCTCAAAATGCAAAGATTTGGCCCTTTCTTGAGTCATTAACCCTTCATACAAAACATTGGGCACTGCATTTTCTGCTCAGTATCTGTACCTGGGACAGATGGAGCATTTTTAACATGACTTGTGCATTGTAGAACCACAGTGTGTGCAGGGTTGGGTAGCTTGGCAAAGTTTGTATACAGCTGAAAGCAGTGAGCCTGAGATGCCAGCACTAGAACTGTACACAACCATGTCTGAGATGTCCAGCAGCACAGTGTCACACTGCGCTCTAGGATTGACACTCAGAGCTGGCTCTCAGGTCTTGGGACTTGGTTCTTTGCTTCTTCCCCACCTGTCATGTGTCTACAAGTGACATACAGTCTGGTCTTAGAAAGGCAGAAGCCCTGTGAGTGTACCTTGCCATGTGTCAGTCCCTTCTACCTGGAAATAATGCACTGGTTAAGTGTATGTGTCCTTTAGGCATTCCTGCTGGGATGTCCCACTCCCTCCCCTCCTGACTCTGTCACCACCCAAGCCCAAGACTCCAAGCACTAACCTTACTGTGTCCCCTTCCCCTTCTTCCTAGATCCTCTGCAGAGCCTTGAACACTGTTCCTTCACTAATTATGTACAGTGAATAGGACACAACACCCGTGTTTGCATGAACATGGCCCTTAGCTGGACAAAGTCCATGGTGACTCTCAGGATGGGGTTGCAATGGGGTCAATAGGACAGCTTAGGATGGATTCAACAAAGATCGATTGAAAGTCATGCTTCAGAAGAACACCATGCTACCAAGCCTTGTATCATGGTCCTAATCTTAGTTGCACAATCAAAACTCTTAGAAATTGGGAGCAGCACAGGATGAGTCCCTGCTGACAGCTTGGCCGCACACTCACCATGTAGCCCTGGCACGCATCCTTCACCAGCACTATGGTGTGCCCTTGGTGCTCTGGAGCCTGCTCACAGCGCCGGCAGATGCGCTGCTTGTCATCTTCACAGAAGAGCTGCAGCGGCTCCCCGTGTTCTTCACATTTTAACTCACACTGCATCTCCTCCATCTGCTCTAAGACTGCAATGATTCTTTCTAGATGCTTATTGTGCCTCCAGCTGTTTATATCGATTGGCCCCTGACACTGAGGACAGAGGAACTCCTCTGGCAATCCATCCTGCCTACAGAAGGTCCACATACACATCATGCAGTAGCTGTGCCCGCAGTAGAGGCTCAATGGACAAGACAACAATTTTGAGCACAGGAAGCAGGTGGCAATCTCCTGAATCTCCTTCAGGGGAGCAGCTGAGGCCATGGCTCTTCTTCTGAGGCTCCACAGAGGACCTAGAGATGAAGATGAACCAGACAGAATTTCCACAGTGTTGGAAACACAGGGGTCCTGAGCCTCTGTAAAAGAAGCTGGATGCCACTTCAATACATGATACAGTTTTACCTGTATATGCAGAAAGGCTTTTTTATTCACAAAATGTATATTGCTAGCTGTGTGGTTACTACCACAAAAATGATCCTGTGTGGACACTGAAATTCAGGTTAACATATACTCAGTAAATGCAAAATCTAACTTTTGATAATCTAATCAAAATCTTGCTCGATGCATTTCAGTTGCACAACAGCCCCTTCTGGCTGGTGTTTATAGGACACCCTGACCAAGAACATTCCATCTGAGCATGACTTAAAAGTTGTAGCAGGAGCCATAAACCAGTAATGCAGTGAGAAACGCCTTCTTTTTTAAAGGACAATTACCACCAGCATTATCTCTAATTATTCTGTGGGTCATTGGGTGGTCTATGGAGGATTCTGCTTAGACAGTCAAACTGGACTCAACCATAATCCTAAATCCTAATCCACATATCATAGAAGACACACTCCATAAAGCTCAATAGAGACCCAGTAAGGAAGATGAGGAATATAACGAAGACAATCAGAAAAAAACTGAGTTTCTTGCTTCTGTTTCCACTCATACAATGTAAGGAAAAAACTGAAAGGAAGCCTGGAAGAGTAGAGAGGCCTGCTTATTCCTGGGGAGAAAGCACTGAGGAAACCAGGAATTTCATTGTGAGACCTGTAAAAAAGTCCTTTGGCATTTCCTGGGGAGGACAGCAGGTCCTTACTCTCAATAAATGCTCTCTGCACTCCCACCAGGTCTCTACCCTGTGCCCAAAGGAGTGGAAGCTGCAGCTCTCAGGAATACACTCACCTATCTGAGGCTAGTTCCTTCCAAGGCTGCCACTTCTGGGAACTGAGGAGGTCAGTTACATCAGAGGGAGAAAAATGAAACCACTGAGAGGCGGGGCTGCGGACTTCTGGCCAATGAGGAGAGGAGGCTGTGAGCTGTGCCTGTCCTGAGAGGGGGAAGACAAGGGGCAAACATGCTCTTAAAGGAGCATATTTTAAGGGTGAGCTAGCCTGTAGTGGATGTGAGCACTATGTTGTGCTAAATACCTGGTGCTTCCCTAGATGCCTGGTAGCCTGTGATGTGGTTGCTGTCCTCCATTCTCTCAGCTGCTCACAGAGGAGTTTTAGACTCTGAGGAGTTTCTGAAGCTAACACAGGACAACAAAATAGAAACCGAAAACCCTGACACAGCTAGATTATGTGGTGCAACTGCCTGTCCTGATGGCTCTTCATGCTAAAGGAGGCTCTCTGAAGCCTCATTCTTTTGTGGAAGTGTAATCCTAGAATTTTTGCCCTGTGGACCAGTTGATCTCAGCCAGAGTCCAGGCCCTGCACCCTGCCAGAACTTCTTCCTGCCTACCTATCTGATTCTCCTGAACCCTGCTCACCGACCCATGGACCCCAGGCCGAGGCCAAGCCCTGTACTCTGCTGGAAAATCCTGCTTCCAGCCGGTGGAAAGGGCTTGTGTGGACCCAGCAATGAAACTCATGGAAGAGTGGCTAGGAGCATGATCTAGCCGTCTAATCCAGAAGAGCTCACCAGTGGGGAATGGTGGGGTCACTTCCCCAGGTAGCAGCAGGAAAAAGTGAACCACAGCAGCCAGTCCCAAGCAAGGCCCAGTTGAACAAAGTCAAACTTTGCAAATCCGGATCTGGTAAGCTGAGACACACTGCTACACTGCTAGACCCAGATCTAGGAGAGCATCCTCTCTCTCTCTCTCTCTCTCTCTCTCTCTCTCTCTCTCTCTCTCTCTCGGCAGAGGGTGCAACAGGTAACTGAGGTGAAAGTCTGCATGGAAGTCCCCAGGTATATCAAGGGAAGGTGATCAGACAGATCACAGGGGAAATAATTTGAATACAAATTCCCAATTTTATATCTGCTTAGCTATACAGTCATGATACTGGTCCTTAGGGCCTAAAATACAAACCCATCAATTACAAAAGTTTGCCAAGTGCTCAATCTCACTACCCATTATTAGTGATCCTAATTGCAGTATTGTAAATATAAAACTTCAACTGCCTTATCCACATCTCACATTGGATTGTAATATTGGTAAGAGCTAGCATAACTAGCACACCAAGGCTCCATATCAAAGGTCAAAGGGCAGTGCTATGCAAAATGATAAAGAGAAGGAACAAAATGCATTCTCAGGCCCTGAGTCCATCCAGAACAAATGAAGGAGATGCTAGCATTGGAGGAATTGAAAGCCACACTCCTGAAAGCTCTGAAATAATAGCATCTGAAGTAAAGAAACAACTGCTGAAAGCTATAGAGGATATCAGATCAGAAATAATCACTGAAGTAATAAAAGAAACAATAACTATAATGAAAGAAATACTAAAAGATTCTAAAGTAGATACTGAGAAAAAAATAGAGGAGAGTAGCCAAATGATGGAATCCTTGAATGAACAGTTTAGGAAAGAAATAGAATGAATGAAACAGATTCAAAGAGATATACAGGCAATTCAACATCAGTCACAATCTGGCAAAGCCGTTTGAATGAAAGTGATGATAAAATTTCAGATCTTGAAGACACCATTGCAGCTAGTGAAAAAGTAAGAAAAGATCTCTTAAAAACAACTAGGATGCAGAAAAAATATAATTCAACATCTGCAAGAAAATGCAAAGATGAACAATGTAAGACTAAAAGATGTTATTGTGAAAGGAGTCAACACAAATGATATTAAAAAAAAATGGCAGAAGTAAAAGCAGAAATCTTCCCAAATATAGGGAAACAATCTGACATTCAGGTCATCAAAGTATATAGAGCTTCAATTAACATCAACCCAGGTAAAACACACCCAGACATATATAATCAAGATTCCAGAAATCTAGCACAAGAACATATACTAGAAGCCACTAGGGAAAAGAAACAGATCACATTTAAAGGAAATCCCATCAAAATAATGGCAGATTTCACTTTAGAAACAATCAAGACAAGAAGAGTATAGAGCAAAGTGCTTCAAGTCCTCCATGAAAACAAATTTCAGCCCAGACTGCTATACCCTGCAAAACTTAACTCTGATGGAGAAGTGAAATACTTCCATGACAAAGAACAACTAAAGAATTTCATGATGACAAAGCTGACCCTCTACAAACTACTACAAGATATTCTGGAGAGGGATCAAAATGACCAGAACTGCATGCATGAGAACAGAAACAACCCACCAAACAGGGCAAAAAAATAAACACAGGAGAAAAAGTGGAATACAATAACAGGTAAATTAACATGTCATTTGTAAGTAATTGTATATCAATTATAACCATCAATGTAAATGGACTCAATTTACCAATTAAAAGAACTAGACTAGCAGAGTGGATTAGGGAGCAAAGTCCAACAGTATGCTGTATACAAGAAACATACTTACCTCATAAAGAAATTCATAGGCCAAAAGTCAAAGGTTGCAAAACAATACTACATGGCCCCACACCTCAGAAAAAAGCAGGGGTAGCAATTCTGTTTGCAGACTGTCTCACCTTCAAACCAAGAAGGATCGAAAGAAAGAAAGAAAGAAAGAAAGAAAGAAAGAAAGAAAGAAAGAAAGAAAGAAGGTACACTACATATACTAGTTAGGGGAAAATATGAGAGGAAGAGGCAACAGTCGTATACATGGATGCATCAAACACGAGCACATCCAATTATATAAGACAAATCCTCATGGACATGAAAAGTCTAATATCTAATACCACAATCTTAACAGGAGATCTTAACATCCTCTTATTCCAAAAAGATAGGTCAAGCAGACAGAAAATTAGCAATAAAGTAGCAGAACTGAACCAGAACTTGGAACAAATGGCCATAGCAGATGTATATAGAGCGTTCCACCCAAGCACATCTGAATACACATTTTTTCAGCTGCACATGGGACATTCTCTAAAATAGACCAAATATGAGACCACAGGTCATGCTTAAGTCTATGCAAGAAGACAGAAATTATCCCATGCATACTATCCAACTGCAGTGCAATGAGACTGGAAATAAATGACAAAAGAATCCAGAAAGACCCCAGAAATACATGGAAATTAAACAATACCCTCCACTGCACCCAATGGGTTGCACATGAATTTAAACAAGAAATTAAACAATATCTATAATTTAAAGAAAACTGAACCACAACTTATCGAAATACATGGCATTCAATAAAAGCAGTTCTTAGAAGGAAATTTATAGCTGTGAAATCACACATTAGGAAAACAGAATGGGAACAAAAAAATACCCTAATGCTCCACTTCAAACATCTGGAAAAAGAAGAGCAATCCAAACCCAAAGTCCAAAGATGGGATGAAATGATAAAGATTATGTCAGAAATTAATGCAATCCAGATGATGCAAACAATACAAAGAATTAATAAATCTAAAAACTGTTTCCTTGAAAGATTAAATAAAATTGATAAGGCCCTAGCTAACCTCCTCAAAAAGAGGAAAGAAAAAACTCAATTTTAAGCAATAAGGAATGAAAAGTGTGAAATGAGCACATACCATGTGAAAATTCAGAAAATCATCCATAGCTATTTTGAGAATCTTACTCTCACAGAATCAAAGACACAGAAGAAATAGACAGATTTCTAGAACGGTACAAATTACCAAAACTGAATCAAGAAGATATAAGTACTCTCAATAACCCAAAACAGTCAATGAAATACAAAAAGCAATAAAAAACCTACCAACAAAGAAAAGTCCAGGTCCTGATGGATTCACAGCTGAACTTTACAAGAAATTTACAGAAGATATAATCCCAATACTCATCAACCTCTTCAATGAAATTGAAAACCAAACAGTTCTCCCAAAATCATTCCTGAATGCAAGTACTATACTGATTCCAAACCAGAGCAAGATGCAACTAAAAAAGAGAACTACAGGACAGTCTCCCTCAGGAACATAGATGCAAAAATTTTAATAAAATCCTAGCAAATAGAATACAACAAATCATCAAGAAGATTATGTAGACCCTGCGCCGGCGGGACCAGTCCCAGCCCAGGCTCAGCATGGGCCGGACCCTCTCCCAGCCCCTCGGGCCGCCCCCCACCACTCTGCAGTTCCTCCCCCACCCCGCCCGCCGAGTAGGATTTTCTGCCGAGTTCCGGGAGCCCCCAGACCCAGTCCTAGCCCAGGTCCGGTGAGTGTGCGGAGAG